GGTCCCGGTGAAGCGAAGCAGCGCGGGGGGGAGGATCAGGATCGAGCCCCCGGTCCCAGCACAGCCCCCTGGCACCGACCGGATGGGTTTAGACTCGACCTTGCCCGTGGACATGGTTCCCCTGCTCATGGAGGACACACCTCACGCTCCCCACCGTGCTGAGCCTTCCTGGGGGCTCCGGGGGTCCGGGCTGGGGAGTGCGGGAGGGAACATCCCCCACAACAAACCACCTGGGGAAATAGTGCTGGGAACGGCTCCTCGGGAAACCTCCAGCTGAAATACTGACACTAGGCAGGACAGGATTGTTGGGAAATAAAGATAAAGCAAGTTCCAGAACCACTCATTCATGGGTGATATCTGACAGGCAGCAAATAAACCTCAGTTGGGTTTTGAGCAGGTTGGCGATGTTGATCTCAAAGAGGTTGCTGGGTTCTAGTTCCATCACTCCTACTTCATTAACCTGGGGAATTCTTAATATAAAGCCATTAGTATGATACACAGCAGCCATAACAATGAGAATATGTATTTCACCAAGTGTTTTCACCCCAAATCAAACGTACCTCGAGGTACACACCCAACTTCCCCATCCTCCTGCATCGCCCACCGAGTGCACCCGGGTCCTTCAGCAAACACAGTCCCAGGGATGGATTTACCTTTACCTGAGGCAGGAATAACCCAGACTGTTTTCCCAATGTATTTTTAACATGCACCACAGGGATTTTATCCCCTTCCACAGTACATAAGAGTTTTGATTGGGCAGGGCCAGCTTAACTGTGAGATTCTCCAGCGTTGACTGACAAAGTGGCTTTTGCTCGATGTGTATCTCAAAGTTCTACCACCCACTGCTTCTAATGTAGCTTTTAACAGTCCATATTTTGTAAAAATAAAGACTCCATGGAGCTGGGAGGGTGAGTTTGCACACTGAGAGGGTTTAGGTGTGCTAAGAAGTAAAATAAGGTAGTGTGATACATACATACCCCAATTCCTGCCTCAGCTAGAGCTAAAGAACAGCTTGTTTACCTCCAGGGTGACCTGAGAATAAAATGCTTGTCCTTTCTTCACATAAACCACACAAATGCCTCTTCTGAAAACTGAGAATCCAGGAGCTGGATCTTCACCAAAGCCACTGGATATTTTCTCTGGGAAACAGTCACGGGGCTGATTTCCAGACACAGAGAGGGAGCACAAGGGATACAGGCTGCTCAAGGGACACAAGGTGGTGTGGAGCGATCTGGTCTCATTGCTCTTTTTTCTCTCCTCCCCTTCTCCCACCCCCCTCTCCCTGTTTCCTCTACCAGCTTGTGAACACTTTCTTTAGTTTCCTGAGGCGTAAAACAGATTTCTTCACCGGTGGAGAAGATGGAGTAGCAGAGAAGGTAAAAAAACAAACCCAAATCCTCAAGCTTTTATGTCTTCTAACTTCCATGCCGTGCCTGTGCCGTGGTGCAACTTCCCTGTCTGAACAACTCCAAGCAGTACAGTGCACTTGGGAACTAGCAGCCTGTGATAGTGATGACATACATCACTGGGACAAGGTAATAATGAGCTGCCTCTATCTTGAGGTGAGACACACACGATTGCTCATTCGAGTGGTACCAACAAGTGCAGGGTTGAGGGTATTTTTTGCCACGCTCTGGCCAAAGGCTTGTTTGGAAAGCAAATGTGCCAGACACAGTGACTGAACGGTGACAGACACCGCAGTGTTGATAACCCCAGGTTACTTTGTTTGTTCATCTCAGAAAAAGCACAAAGTCCACATCTCTGCAGATGCAGCTGCACCTTTGTCTCGAGGCTGCGGTGCCTGAATGGAGCCAGCGTGGGGACAAACCTGAGGGTCCAGACAGCCCCATTGGCAGCCTGAGCATCTCCTGTCCAGCACATATTCCTCACCCAGCTCAAGAGCTGAAAAAACTAAATCATCTCACTGTAGGGACACAAGAACCAGAGTATTCAGATATAAACTGAAGGGTTTTTTTTGCTCAGATTTACCAGTATAGCAGCTGTTCCCCTTCCTGGAGATTGAAACTCCACCAGCAAAGCATGTGCTGCTGCCGTGCTGAATGTGTTGGTGCAGATGTTCATTGCTGCCACAGTATCTAACTGTCTGGTGTGTAAAGTCACAAAACTTTAAGGGATGGGAAAGGGGCTGGTTTCAAAGTAAGATGAAGCCTGCTGTCATTTTTAGAGAGTAAATCTCCCCAAATTCCTGGGGACTTTGTGTTCTCAGGGAGTGAAACCCTGAGCAGCATTTCAGAGATGAACACTGGCTGGTGCTTTTGGAAATCCTGGCTACTGTTGTTGGCAATTCCATAGCAAATCCGTGTCTGTAAAAGAAAAGTGTTTGTATCTTTGGGTGGTATCTGTTAAAATGCTTGATGGTTTTCTGAAAAGGTCAGTCTGACACCATAGTAAGCACAAGAAAAATTGAAGAAGCTGCTTTCCCTGTCCTGCTCGCCCTTTGGCATCGAAGGAAGATGTGGGAAAGTCATTGTCTTTTATGGAGTGGCATTTGAGAAGCCCTTGTGTAGAGTGAGGGGGGTGTGGTGTGTGTGCACTGACAAGCACAGGCGATGTTTGCTCACCGTGGATCATCCTGTGGGTAGGAACGGAGGCTGGGAGATGGCACATCTTGAATTCTGTATCCTAGGAGACACTGGACTCGTGCTGTGTAAATAAATCTTGCTTTCCCCTTTAAAACAAAGCAGAAATATATGGTGGTTGGTTACAAAACTACAAGGCATGGATGCTTGGAATTGCTCTGGAAAGGTGCTGAATCCCTCCAGAAGTTTCTGGGATTTATATAAACCAGTACCTGAAAACTCTGTGTGAGAAATCTCTCCACTCTTGATTCCTTTTCTCCAGTTCTCTCTCTGTTTTCTGGAGCAGATTTCCCTTCTCATACGTGCTGCTTTGCACAGCGCTGCTGGTGTTATCGACTGGGGCAATTGCTCTGGCTTCCTGCCTGTGTACTCAGCTTTCCCTCCGAGCAGCACAGCCGTTTGCATCAGAGACCTTGAGATCTTGCTTGTTGTAGTCACAACAACATGAGAAATTGGAGTGAGGTTTGAAGCAAAGATTTATGTAGGAACTTGCCCCTAAGTTCAAATATTTCTCCCCTAAATCATGACACTGAATCTTTATCTAGTGTCCAGGGAAAAGCCCAGTCATGGGAAAGGTCAGAAGGAATTAAAAATACTTGGATCCAGTGTCTGGGTTCTCCCAGCTGTCCTAGATGTACAGAGTAGCTGTCAAGTGCCTGGGTTGGGCATCTGCTCCTCTTACTGGAATTGCAAAAAGGCCAAAACAAATGGAGAATATTTTTCTGTTATCTCCATGGAAATACACTCCCTGGATAAGGAAGAACTAGGAAGGGCTACCTTTAAATATGTTGAATTTTCCCCTACTCTAGATTTTCAGTTAAAAAACTGAAAATGAAGGGAAGAGTCACAACATCTTTACGACTAACAAATGTTTCATGCTCCTCAGGAGGCAGTTAGTTGTTTTCATTGGAGTTTGGAAGAGTGATTTTTTTAAAAACCCTTTTGAAAACATGCTCCTGTCTTTCAGCTGATCACAGACACCTTCAACCATCACAACAAGCTAGCTCAGAAGGAGCGGAAAGAGAAAAAGGCTCGTCAAGAGGCAGAGCGGCGTGAAAAGGCAGAGAGAGCTGCGAAACTCGCCAAAGAAAAGCAAGAAGCAAACGAGCCAAGGATTAAAGAACTTACAGATGAGGAAGCAGAAAGGCTGCAGCTGGAGATTGACCAGGTGAGAGCAGTGTCTGGTGCCTGCACGTGCCATCTAGTTGGTCTGTGTGTAGCTGGGGTAGCAGTGAGGAGTTAAAATGACTTAGACTTGTTCCTTTGCAGTGTCTGGACCACCAGACTGGTGTGTTTCAAACTTAAATTAGCGTAAGCCAAACCATTCAGGTGGAATCTCCCGAAACTCACTTTGCCTTTCTACCTTCAGGCCTTTCTCTGATTGTAGCAACACCCTCTGCTACAGTCCTCAAGGTGTGAGGACCACGAGAGCCTTCCCCTTGGCAGTACTGCTTTCCTGTAACTCTTCCAAGGGCTCAAAATTCCCCCTCAGTCTTGGGTGCAGTTCTGAGTCCTGCTCCTTATTTTCAGTTGAAGAAGCTGAGGCCACCTAGTGTCAGATCAGCAAGTGACACAAAGTGCCAACGCTTGTCTGAGCATGTTCCTTCTCTTTTTAAACAGAAAAAGGAGGCACAAGGACAGATCAACAGTGTCCCAGTGAAACCCTCGGAGAATGAAGGTCAATCTTCAGATTCTAACAAACAGGTAAAGCTCATCTAGGGACTTTATTTTAGGTTGAGAGAAATAGCTCTGGACAACCACGAGAACTGTGAGTGTGAGGGAATATGGTGAGAAGATGTACTTAATTCCCAAAGATTTCAAAGGTTTTGGGGTTTTTCAGTTTGTTTTTTTTTTTTTTTTTCTTGGAGAGGGGATTTTTTCAGTTTTTGGGGTTTTTTTTTTTTCCCCCTCCTTTTTTGTAATTATGTTTTGACAGAAACACCTTTTCATTTGGGGCTGAATTTATGTGAATAGCAAATACATACAGCTGACCTGAAGTTCTTATAAAAACCAAGAACTATTGTTGCAAAGGAAAGATAAATGGAAACTTTAAAAGCTTCTTTCTTCACATTTTAAATTGGTTGCTTAGGAAACAGATGATGAAGAGGAAGATGAGAAAGATAAAGGAAAACTTAAACCTAACTCTGGCAACGGAGCTGACCTTCCAAATTATAGATGGACACAGACTCTTTCAGAACTGGATGTAAGTATTGGCTTATTACCAGGGTCTGAGGAATATGAGCTCAGGGATAAGAGCAGGTGCTGGTAGGAAGGGTGGAGCTGATGCTCTGTGTCTCAGTTTTCTGTGGAAAGTTTTTAGTTGTACTTAATAACAGGATTTCAAGAGCTGGGAGAGAGCTTAGTAACTAAATAAAATTCCCAGAAGCTGTAGTTAACTTTGCCAAACCTTGGTCTTGTTTTAACAAGACATTAAAAATCTGCTTCCCTTTTTATGGTCCCTTTGAGGTATTGGCCATAGAATCATAGAATGGTTTGGGTTGGAAGGGACCTTAAAGATCATCCAGTTCCAACCCCCCTGCCAGCAGCAGGGACAGGGTCATCCTGTTGCCAAACTTACTCTTGTATCCTTTCACCTCCTGCTCACTCAGTACCCAAAGGAAAATACTGTGTGCTGTGTCTTACTCTGGTGAAGCCAAGGCAGAAAGTCTTCAAACAGCAGCACAAGAGGGTAAAGAGAGGCTCCACTGCTCAGCTCCTCAAATCTGATCTCTCTCTGGTCCAGCTGGCCATTCCTTTCAAGGTGAACTTCAGGTTGAAGGGGAAAGACGTGGTGGTGGATGTTCAGAGACGACGCCTCAAAGTTGGGCTGAAGGGCCATTCGCCTGTCATCGATGGAGAGCTTTTCAATGAAGTGAAGGTGGAGGAGAGCTCCTGGCTGATTGAAGATGGTAAAACAGTCACTGTGCACCTGGAAAAGGTAAAGCAGAATAAATCAGGAAAGATTCAAGCTTGTCTGAAATGGGAGTTTGACAAAACCTATGAAAGCCCTGGGCTTTGTCAGCTGAGACAGAGGAACCATGCTTCTCCTGGGTACAGTGTCAGTGGTGCTATTGGAAGCGGAGTATTGCAAGTTCCCCCTGTTTTTAGCCTAACTTCCTGCTCATCCAGGATATCCAGTGGATTGCTCAGCAGTTCAGGGAAAGCTGGAAGGAAATCAGTCACTTTAAAGTTGTTCCTTAATGGAGTAATGCCATATTCTGACATCTGTTAGTGACGTGAAGATCCAGGGACAGACCTTACTGCTTCTTGTGTCCCTTCTTGTGTCCCTCCTGGGCCTCTCCAAGTGATTTGTTTGTAATTCTGTTTATGTCGTGTCCAACGTGACATCTGACATGCTTTCAGATTTCCCAGTTGTGGAAATTCAGGCTACCTAAAGTGGTTAGGAATGAAAGTAGTACCCTTCATCCATGTTCACATTTTACTGACAGAAAACTCTGAAAGTTTGGTTCCAGCAGCTTTTCCCTATGAGTGAGACTTAAAATTCCTAGAGCAAGTCCAGGATAAATAAAATATTTTTGCTTCTTCATCCCTCTAGATCAACAAGATGGAATGGTGGAACAAACTAGTTTCCACAGACCCAGAAATCAACACCAAGAAAATTAATCCAGAGAACTCAAAGGTAAGAACTCCCCCTGTTTTACAGAATGGAGCCTTCTCATAAACATGCTCACACTTGGCTCACGTTCAACTTCTGTGTCTTTTTTTTTTTACCAGCATAAAACCCAGTACTGGGAGTACTGTGCATATCACAGAATCACAGCATGGTGGGGGTGGGAAGGGACCTCAGGAGATCATCCAGTCCAACCTCCCTGCCAAAGCAGGTTCACTAGTACACCAGGTTGCACAGGAAAGTGTCCAGGCAGGTTTTGAACATCCCCAGAGATGGAGACTCCACACCCTCTCTGGGCAACGTATTCCAGAGCTCTGTCACCCTTTCAGTAAAGAAGTTTCCTGTCATATAACATAAGTGCCCTCAAAACTCCCAATGAATGAAGCTGAGCCTATAGATTAGTGTCTATATAAGTATTTCTGCAGCCTGTGCACACAGCATAGTGTAACCTCAATGCATTTGTGTTCTCTGCAAGCAGAGTACAGCCAAGTTATTCCAATTTTTAATAGAAGTTCTTGCTTTTAGTTGTCAGACCTGGACAGCGAGACTCGCAGTATGGTGGAGAAAATGATGTACGATCAGCGACAGAAATCCATGGGCCTCCCTACGTCTGATGAACAGAAGAAGCAAGACATTTTGAAAAAGTGTGTAGACCTCATTAGTTTGTGGGTTATTTGCTTTCCCAAACCCCTCTCCTTTTCCTCTTTGACACAAATACGTGAGCAGAAAGCAGATTGGCCTTCAGTCCTACCTGTATTCACATCTACAGTTACGTTGGCCAACCACCAGTATCTATAAAAACCTGTGGGGGTAGAAAGCATAACGGGAAATTCTGGGACTAGCCCACCTCTGGAATTGTCTTAATCTACTGATTTCAAGTCCAGAAAGCATGTTTGAGACTGGAGGTACCATCTCTACTGAACTTTAACATGCTCTTGATTGTGTTCTAATCTCCCTCTCCTCCTCAGTAGCCCAGATAACCACCCCTCCCTGCACACCTGCCACCAGACAGCCGTCTCCAAGCCAAGAGCACTTTTATGTCTTTATTGCCCTGTTTGGCATAAATGCACCTCAGCAGGGAAATTACTCACGGGGCTCCCAAGGCCATTTGGGGAGGCAATTCTGGGTCATGCAGCTTCTTCAGCAAGTGCAAACCCACATCTTATCTCAGGACTGGAAGGCGGATTTAGTGTTGCAGGCCTGACTCCTTTTCTTCCTTGGCTTATCTGTAGCAGCAGAAGCTTCACTCTGATCCGTGCGCCGAGCACGGTGTCAGGTGCAACTGTTTGAAGCAGAGACCAGACTTCCTTAGTGCCTGTCTGTTGAGTGAGTAGAACAGGAGGGAGCTTTCTCCTCCTGGGAAGTCCACATACAGGATATGTCCTTGGCAAGGTCACTCCTTCAGAGCTCTGGAAGTTTGGTTTGGCTGGTAAAGAATGGATAGGAAGTTTAGACTTTGTTCAGGCCAAAGTAGATTCAATGACACCCAGGTGGGTCCTAATCTCTGCCAGCGAAGCCCTCCTGGCTGCTAAACAAGGACACTCTTCTTGCAACACATATTTCTGTGGAAATGGGAAGTGGAAACACCGTGGTGGTGTTTCAGGGGAAACCACGAGATGAGAGCACAGAGGCCTGCCCTTGCACTTTGTGTGTGACTCCTCCACACGGTGCTGTGTTGCATCCCTTGGTGAGCTGCTGGGCAGAGGAGGAACCCAGGGATCACTCACAGGCACCGTGGATTGTTCTCAGAACTTTCTGATGTGGCAACCCAAGTCCAAATAGTCCTGTCTGCTGGGATGACAGCACAGTTGAAATCAGGTTGCACCTGGTCTGAAACCAGATTTCTCTGGGCACGTCCCTTGTGAATTTTCACTGTTGCAGCACTGGAGATATTCCCTACGTCCCCAGTAATGCTTAAGCTAACAAGTTTGAGCTTCAATCATAATCTACCCTCACAATCTCCCCTCTGCCCCACAATCAGTGTCATAGCTGCTACGTGTCCGTCCGAGAGGTAACAGTTAAAGGGTGTGTGTCTGATAATTAATAACTCCCATGTGCCTGGACTTGCTGACCTTGATCCATGTAGGATTGCTGATACCACTGACCCGAGGAAAAAGTGTTTGTAGTATGGGGAGTGTGTCCCAGGGAGCTCAGCAGAACAGTCCCTGCTGTGGAGGGCGTGAGGAGGAAGCAAAGTTGATGGTGCAGGAAGTAGGGATGCTTGACTCTCCCAAACAGAGCTGTTCTGTGGCTCCTGCTGACTCAAACCCAAGCTCTTGTCTTTTGTTTTCCTTGCAGGTTCATGGAACAACATCCAGAAATGGACTTTTCAAAGG